TGTGGAAGTAAGTAGAAAAAAGAACGAACAATCAATTTTGGGCTGCTATGCGCAGTTGAAGTACAGAGATGATTCATGGTCATGTACCAACGAACGAGCTCAAAAGATAACTTGAGTTGTGGCTAAACTATTTGGAATTCGTACTATGTATCAAAGAATGTTGTGCCCAGGACAACAAATGGTGTGAAAAATCATTTAGCTATATTTTATAACATATTTTAGCAGCTGCCAACGATACGTCGATCGAGGAAGGAAGGAAGGAAGGATCGATCTGGAACCGTATCTAATGAGTTTTCTCTGGTTTTCAGGGTCGTGTTTTCCTCTCTCTGGAAAGGGTATCCCAAGACCAGGGTGCAGTTCAACACGATGCTGCCGATGCAGCAGTGGCAGAACTTAGGTAAAGGCAATTGAGCGAGCAGCAGGTACAAATATACACACACTTGTGTACAGGCATCCCCATACATACATACATACATACATACATACATACATACATACAAACATACATATGTATGTACATAAAAGCACAGATGTACAGGTATCTGGTTAAGCCTATTGTGGCATACAAAAAGAACAAAAGGCTGGGCCCCTGCCTCGAGGTGTGTGTGTGGATTCGTGACGTGACTCAACAGCCAGCGATGTATATGCCCCCTGTCCCTGGCCCTGTCCGAGCCCCAGCCCCAGCCACAGCCCCGGCCATTGCCTGCACAGCCAAGACGTGCCCCAAAGGCAGCAGAAGAGAAGCTGCGACTGCGACAGAGGCTGAGGCTGAGACAGCTACTCTGGGGCTGGTTGAATGACGCGCGCAGCTCCATTCCAGGGTGCATTTACGCAAAGGTGAGATAGTCCAAAGAGAATGCTCTCGCGATACGAGCAGATTACAGATGACAGCTCTGGCAGGAACAAACGAAGAGAGAGAGAGAGATCGTTTCGTGGGAGTGAATCAGGTAGAATTCCTAGACCTGGATTGCAGGTCATCAGAGATCATAACAAAAGCTACAGGTATCGTGTCCTCCGCTCGGCTCCTGTTGCTCCTCTGACATTTCATTGGGGGTCCCTTTTTGAATACCGTTGTTCTTTTGCAGCCTTATCCCCTTGTCTTTTGTTCTTTCCCTTCTCACTTCATATTCTTCAATGCACAGAGGAGGATCCATCACCATACCTGTGGCAAAAGGCAGAGCAAAGAGCACAGATGAAATAGAGAACAGAGCGAGTGCGAGTGCGAGAGAGAGAGGCAAAAGCAAAACAAAGCCCACACAAAGGTAAGCTCTCATTGTGTACGAGAGAGAGATAGTGAGTGAGAGAGCGAGTGAACGGAAATAAGGTGGAGAAGAGACCCAAAGCACGGAGAAGCATCCTCCAAAGATACAAGATACAAACAACATTGAGGCACACACACACACACACACATACACTTGAGTTGAGGCTCACTTGAGCTCTGTCTCTGTTTGTGTGTCTGCCAGAGCCTGTGGGGCATCATTTGGGTCGTCGTTTGCCTCTTGTCCCCTGCCCCAACTATTCCCCTTTAACCATTCTCTATGAAGGAGGGGGGCCGTCCGCTCCGTTCCACAGTCCCAGAGTTGCTCAGCATTATTACAACGGATTTATCTCAAGTTACACCCACACACTCACACACTCTTATGCACAAGTATATCCATGTGACTTTGTGTGTGCGTGTGTGTGTGGCAAAGCAAATATGATTTAATTTTATATTTTTCCAACATTTGATTTTACCTCTGCCCCAGCAAACATAACAAACTATGAGGCAGAACGAAACCAATGCGTTTTTATGATCAGTTCAAACAGTTTCGAAATATAATGTATAAACTTCTGTTGTAAAAAGAACATTGGTAACTAAAATATTTCGTATTTTTCCCCAAAGTGCATTAAATAAATCCATGTAATGGGTATTTTTGCAGTCGATATGTCACCCTTTTGCCTGTTGTTGTTTTTTCCTTAGTTTTGTGCTTTCAAAATAACTTGCAGGTCCTCTGCCCTCGGCTTGTCTGCTGGTTCTGTCTCTGTCTCACCCACACGCACACTGTTCCACCGTTCGCTGCCTCTCGCGCCCACTCTCTTTTCTGCTCCAGAGACCACTCATCTGTGGGAGAGTGAGAGACTAAGAGAGGGAGAGCGGGCCTTTTGGCCATGTGTCTACTACTTTTCGTTAATAGTTGTGCTCTGGCAACTCTGTGGCTCCTAACGACAGGAAATTAATGATTTAATTACATTTTTGGCTAGCCAGATTATAAACAGAGAGAGACACAGAGAGAGAGAGAGAGAGAGAGAAATAGAGAGGGAGGGTGAGGGAGGGGAGAGGGGAGAGAGAGGGAGAGAAGACGGAGAAGGAGAAGAAAAAGGGCTTAGGATGTCGAAGCAGCGGCACCTTTAATTGATTTCTCATGGCCGCATGGGAAACACTGACCTGGCCATCCCATCCATCCATTGTCTCTGTGTCTCCGTCTCTGTATCGGCTTCTACTTCTGATTCTGATTCTTGGGCTCTGCCTTTGCCAAACACCGCTCCCTTCTCGCCTCTTCTCTAATCTGCCCCAAGACACCAAGTCCAAGTCCTACCTTAACAGAACCTCAACAAAAAACCAACAGAAATGCTGCGCCTGCGCGTGCCTCGCGTACCAATCGGGCCGTGGACATGGACGTGGTCGTAGAGAACGCACAGTCAGAGCTACAGAAGCGGGGCTACATGGCTGGCATGCCAAACGATTGGCAAGAATTGTCAATGATTGCTCCCCGAGTCCACAGTTTGAGAGCCGCCGTTTGTGTGGCACTAATGGCCTGTGGGCCCAGAACCAGACATCATTTTATAAAGGATCCTCCACTGGTATGAATGCTACACTTCTTATTCTTCTAAAGGTCTTGGCAAATGTGTGTCCATTCGCTTAGTCGCTGGTTAATTTGTAAAGCGAAACAGTGTCGTTGGCATCATGGGACGTAGCTGGAACACGGGCTACGGATGAGAATGGCTCTCTTTTTCTCGATTTCAAGGAATCCCATTGACCGGCAGACATGTCATACTGGCAGTAGGGGGTGACGGCCAGTGCCATCGTCAATCGTTATCCACACGAAAGATACGTCGATGCAGTGCATCGCGTGACATCAGCTCAGCCGTTTGACAGGAAGGCCAGGGCCACAGTTTTATCAGCAAAAAAACGTTGAACATTTCCAGTTTGAAAACCAATGGTGGCTACTGCTACTGCTGCTGCAGCCTGTGTGGGGTGGGGAGGGGGCCATGAAATTCAATCGACTTTCTCATTTGTTGCAACTTCTGGGACTGCACAAATCCCGAAACAGAGACACAGACAGAGAGAGAGAGAGATAGAGAATGTCATCCGCTGTCAATGTCAATTGTTCGTGATGAGTGCCCCCAGAGCTGTGGCACGCATGTTGCAGCAAGGGGCGAGTGGGGAGGGTAAGCGTAGGCTGTGCCACAGACAACAACAACAGTTTCGACAGGTGGAGCAGTGTACAGCCCCAAGGCCCAAATGAGCAGCGCAGCCAACAACTTGTGGATAATGGCACACTAACAAAGCCATATCAAGTGTCAACATCATCATCGTCATCATCATCATCATCATCATCGACGGGGTAACATCATTCGCTGGCTGTCATTCTGTGTGCAACTGATTAGTCAGCAGATTTTCAAATTGTTACTCGAACAGCGAGAGACGGACACGAGACAGCAGCCCGTCATTGATGGACTTGCGGCTGCAGGCCCAGCCGCACACACTGACCGCTAAAAGTTTGCACGAGCACTAAAATCCTACAGTGGGTCGCTACCTCAGCGAGAGGCATGAAAAAATTAAGCTAAAATGGAGCTGTGCCTACTCCCTCGCTCTCTCTCTCTCGCTCTCTTTGTTTTCTATATATTCTATATTTCTAGCTGATAAATGATGTTCCGAGGTTCATTTCCGATGCCACGAAGGACGCACCTGCCACAAGCAAGCGAGAGAGAGAGCGCGAGAGAGAGAGCGAGAGAGAGAGCGAGCGAGCGAGTCTGGGAAATATGTGTGAAAAATGTCAGCGATGGCCAGAGGCAGAACGCGAAACGCGGCACAAGGATGTGGATGAAGAGGAGCAGACCGAGACCCAGGCCCAGGAGCCATAACCTCTTTGAGCTGTGGGCTGTGGACTGTGGACTGTGGACTGCGGACAGTGGCCTCTGGGCACACTCTCCTGAGCCAGCCAGGTGGAAAACCCAGCGAACAGAGCGAAGCGAGTGAATAAATAAGCAGTAATAAAAACAACCGTGAGTATACACCCATACAGCCATACCACACCCACACCCACACCCACCCACTCAGCCATGCTGAGCAACCCACATGCTGCTGCCATGCTGCCGGGTATTTCCGCAGCGTGCAAAATTCCAGGCTAGCCAAAACCAGACGCAGGACACCAGAATAGGAGAAGACCAAAAGGAGAGTCAGAACGAGAACCAGAGCCAGAGCCAGACCTAGAGGATGTGAGGGCCATTGAACAGAACATAACAGGAGCAGCAGGGGACCAGCAGGCAAACAGAGCGGTAATAAATGCTTCATAAAATACAAACACTCTCCCACACTCTCCCACATTCACATGCTCGTACACCATTCGCATTCATTCATATTTGAATAAATGAATCTGCAAACAAAACGGAAATAACCGCCAAATGCTATGGTAACCCTGGCAGTAAGCGCCTCCTTAAAACAATTTATGAAAGCGTTTTGCACTTGCGGTAAAGATACACAGATACAGGTGCAGGACCACTGCTCCCCCATGTCTCCTCTGGCTTCTTCATTCCCATAATTCTCAGTCACATCAGACTCCTTTAAGACGCCCCAGCTTCTGTTCGGATCATTGAATCTCATCCACTTGCCACCCCGCCACTGTAAAGTCCCCGAACAGTTGTACAGTAATTGTGACGGGGCTGCGCCTGCCGCTTAGGCTACACTTTTCAGCGCATAGGGAAAAGCACAGTGGTCGTGGAACTGTAATTGCACTCACCTGCTGGAGTCCTGCCGCAGACTCTGATCACCCAATAAAAGTTCTGTTCTTCCTATTGATATGCTACTTGTGGGACTTTGTTGCAGTTGCTGTTGCTGTTGCAAGAGTTGTTGTTGCTGCTGCTGCTGCAGCTCGTAGGCGGCACTCAGCAATTGCTGCTGCTGCTGCTGCTGATGCTGCTGCTGGGATCGATTGTTGCTGCTGTTGGCTGTCGCTGTCGCTACATTTGTTTTGTATGCATGGACGTCGCTGGATTGATGCACAATGACGTCATCTAGTAACTGTTCAAACAAAAAGAGAATGCAATTACTTAGTAAATATTTGAAATGCAACAGAAATGAGTAAAGTTGAGGAGAAAATTGCATGAAAAATACAAGAAAAACGAATTAAAACAGAAATCAATTTCGCATGCTTGTGTGCCCCCAATGGCAAATGAGTTGCAGCGTCGCGCTGCCAATACATCCCACAAGATAAATATAAAAAAAAAAATAGGTAAAAGTCAAAAAGGAAGGGAGGGAGTAAGAGAAAAAAGCAACAGCACAGTAATGAAAGAAAGTTGAACGGGATATCAACTGTCAACTGGGGTGCAAGTTATGCATATTCTTGTGGCAACTGTCGATGCCACCACCCCCACTCCCCCGCCACAACAGACCCACAAAAGACAAACCGAAAAACGAAAAACCGAATTCGAGAGCAAACCAATTACAAAGTGTGACAGCTCCCCAGACGAATGCAAAATGTGATGTGGCATTGGGGCTGTGTGGCACAGCCAAATTAAAGTCAAATCAAATCAAACGCAAATCAAAGAAACGCTTTTACCCCCCGCCCCCCGATGTTATTGTTAAATTATTAATTAACTATAAATATTTATATGCATATTAAAAACAAAGACAAATCAGAGACCGAAGCTCAAATCAAATTCACAAATGAAAATCCAACGAAAAATGGCATTGCATTGGGAAAATTCACCTCTCGTCTCGGTGGATACAGATTGTTGGCTATCAGTAGATCACAATTCTTCATCAAGGATGCCGTTGTGGCTGCCGCTGTTGCTGCTGTCGCCGCTGCTGTCGCCGCTGCTGTGGCCGCTGCTGCTGCTGCTGTCGTTATGCCGCTGGATGCGTTCGAATTATTGCTATTATTGTTGTTGCTTAAAACTAAATGTTGCTGATGGAAATGAGTCTGTGTCAGTGGCTGCTGCTGCTGCTGCTGCTGCTGCTGCTGCTGCTGTGAGGTGTTGTTATTGGTGGTGTGATGCAACTGCAGCTCGGCAAAGGCCTGCTGCAGCTGGCCGCTGGATATTGCCGTCGAGTACTCGGTCTTGGGCGTCGTTGTGCCATGCAAATGGCCGCTACCGCTGGGCGGCAGAGCGATATCCGCTGCCGTCACAATGCTATTGGCGGCCAGCAGGGGCGATGTCGAGGTGCCGGCATCCACGAACTGCACATCGTTGGCGCACAGCTGCAGCGGGGCCGGTCGGTTGTGGGTCTGGGCGTGGGTCTGCTGCTGATTCCGCTGCTGGTGGATCGCCGCCGTGGTGGCCAGTGTGGCCGCCGCCGCCGGCAGCGTCGTGCTGGCCGGCAGCGTCGTCGTGGGCAGCTGGGCGTGCTTGTTGTTGTACGAGATGTAGGTGATGCCGCAATAGTTGGCCCCGTCCACATCATCGTCGTCGTCATCGAGATCCTCGTTGTCCACCTCCTCGGCCAGATGCTGCAGGCTGCTCGCGAGCAGGGACTTGGCCTGAAGGGGCTTCCCCGCGGCGGCGGCCGCCGCCAACTGCTGCTGGAGCTGCTGCAGCTGCTGTTGCTGGGCCTGGCTGGCCTGGTAGATCTGTCCGGTGGCGCTGCTCGTCGAGCTGCCGGCCGTAATCGCGGCCGCAGAGTTGGGCAGCTGCTTCTGCCTCTGCTGCTTGAGGGCCGCTGCGGTGGTGCTGTTGGCATTGCGATCGGCGGCAGTGGCCGCTGCCACAGCGGCACTCACCAGCGCGGAGGCCCCCTGGCTGGCCGACTGCTGCTCGACGGCGGGCGTCGGCATTGTGCAGGTGGCTGTGGTGGGTGCCAGCATTGGGGCGGAAATGGGGCCGCCCGCCGTGGCCGTTGTCATGGTGGAGCTGCAGCAGGTGATCTGGTTGCTGGTGAAGGACGTCACATAGATGGGCGTCGAGTCGTTCAGGAAGCTGAGGTCTTGCGGCTTCTGACTAGTCGTCGTTCCGCTCTTTCCGCTCTTGCTGCAGCTGTTGCATGATTGATGGATTTTGGCAAGTACCCAAAAAGGGCAGAAACAGTGCAAGAGCAGAGATAGAGAGGATTAATACTAAGCTATTAATATTACAAAAATAATCATTGAAAAATGCATTGAAAATAATTTGATTTATATCAGAGAGCAGCAGGATGGCGATCTGAACAAAAGATATCCATCCCATTGCGAACAATTTGCATAATTATGATGCTTCTCACACGGAGATGGAACTAAACTAATTCGCGGAGATTTGAGCCGATTTAATCGAAGGTTTCTCAGGTGAGAGACAGGCGAAGAAGCGGAGATTGAGTGGAAGACTGAGAGACGACGAGTGCAATCATTTTGTTGCAACAAATGGCTGTAGATATGGAAATTTAATTAAATATATTCGAGTGCGTGGGGCTGTCGGGCCTGCGTCTCTGTCTGGGCCAAGCCGCGGCTTTTGCGTGGGTTTTTGCTTGGTTTTTGTTCGAACCAAAGCCAGACGGAATGTTGGCCTGCAGTTGTTGCTCTTGCCGCACCTTTTTGGTGGATTTCTTAATGCACTTCTCCTCCTTCGTTTCGCCCGCCCTCCTGGAGTTGCTGTCGAACCTCGCCTAGGGGCCAATTAACTCTTCTTAGCCATAATCGAAGGTGTTATCAATCCAATTTGGCCTTAACCTTGTTTGCCATGGAGAACCGCCGCCTCAGCCTCCGCCTCCACCCCCATTGAAATGGAGGATGAAATGGCGGCTGGGGCCTAAAGTCAGATCAGTGTCAGGCGATGAACAATTTTCGTCTTTTTCTTTTATTTTGATGCAATTACGTGGAGAGGATTCCAGGAAAGAAACAGAGAGATAGTGGGGAGAGTGGGGTGAGGTGTGGAGAGCTGGGGTTGCAGCATAAGGAATGGAGGCAGAGTGGTGTGTGGGGAGTGGGGGTGTGTGCGAAAGTTGGGTATGCATATTTGGGCTGATGGGGAAGGGATGGCATTCCATGTACCGCACAGAATCCTTTACGCTTCGTGAACATTTTCCCACTTGAACGTTCAATCGAGCTTCGTCCAGCACTCTACTACATGGCCAGAGGAGCAGAGGACCCAGCCAGAGGACTTTCTCCCATCTCCCATGACACGACACGAATTATACCCTTCACGCAGAGTCCCCTCTGTATTATTGTACGAGTGCCATTCGCTGTACAAATTTCCCATAAGCGAACGGCCACAATCGTTGATTCCGGATTGGGAAAAAAAATACAATCGATAATTCCAACCAATATCAGTAGTTTCCCTTTGATATATTCCCAAAAAGTGTATCCAAAAACCACAGCAAGGTACGGGGATTCCATTTGAAATTTTTTCTTGTTCGCATTTTATCGGCTTATCGACAGCAGGCACCACACACAGTCGGTCGGTCGGTCGATGGTGTCATCGGTAAGAGGTGAAGAGTGAAGGCTTCTCCTTGGGTATCCCTCTTGACTCTGGACTCTGGACTCTGGACTCTCGACTCGCACTCTTCCTCTCCGTTTGGAGTAGCACTTTTCAACTTATCAGATACACATATGTATGTACGAGTGTGGGTTTGTGTATGTATATGCATACCGCACACAGTACGATAAACACTCGTCTGAACGAACCCCAAGAAGTGTCTCGAAAAAAATCATTTGTCCATTCCCCCCCACTAACGGTTACCCACTCGTACCGCATCATGTAGCCTAGACAAAGGACAGTGGAGGCCAGAATGTAAGCAATTGCTGGAGGAGCGTTCAACTATGATGATGAGAGCCACCCGGTGCTCAAATGTGATGCAGGGGCAGCATGCAGCTATCGTTTGGGGTTAATGTGGCTCTCAAACTATGCGGCAGACCAGACCAGACCACAGGCCACAATCCTCCGTCCCTGATGGGGCGCACAGTGAGTAGTGAATACACTCGAATCAATCATTTGTGCTGGCCAGAGGGACTCTTATTGGACCATTATTGATGGCTTGATTGATTCCTTTAAATGGCAGACGGCAAAGTGAGATGCCCTGCGATCAGGAGCGGGTTGTGCTGTGTCCTCTCACTTATGGGGACATTTGTGCAATCAGCGAAAAATCAGCTTTCAAGTGGCTGCCGCGGCGTGTTGATTAAAACTACATATGCAATTGAATACAATGAATGCAGCTACATAATCGTACGAGTAGTTCATTCAAATCATTCAAATCGTGACAAACATTCCAAAGGGCTGGCTCCATCCATGCATAACATTTTTCAGGCAACCCACAGCCCCATAAGAGACACTTTCGAATACTTAGAGACTGAATACCGAATACGAACACGAATTACGGGGCGTAATGAATAATTAATTAACTCGATTTACACACCCATCCCATCCATTCATCCATTCATTCATTCATTCACTGAGTGACCCATACACGAGTAGAGAGAGAGAGAGAGAAAAATTGAGAGTGGAGAGAGACAAAGTGTGGGCTAATCTGGGGAATAGCTGTTATGTAAGCTACCTGCTCCTGCTCCTGCTCCTCCTGAGCGTGAATCGCTTGATTAGTCCCCTGTGAATAAACTCACTCACACCCACTCAAACACTCACTCAGCCACTCACTCAGACGCACATGCAAATGGGATTGCACTGTGTTTCATTTTCAATTATCCACATATTTGATTTAGCTGGTTTTTGCATCTCTTTGCACGAGAGCACCGAGCACGTGGATACCCTGCCCAACAAGGGGTTGTATGTGTACACACATACATATGTACATATGCACAATGTATGATGCTGCCCAGAGAGTTTTCTGTTTGCGACGGGTTTTGTTTCCACTTAAATCCTTCTTTAAAAGTGAATCAACTTATCATATCCGATAGATGGATTTAGTATAGCTAGCCATGTAATCCAACTTTAAAACACTTTCAAATATTTTTAAATTATAATAAAAGTTGAAGGAAATGTAAATATTAAAATATATTTAAAATAAATACTTTAATTTTACAATATCCGCTCTCGAAGCAACTCGATTGATCTATTTCGGGACATAGTATTATCTTTCAAAGAGACAATCAATTTTATTTCTCCCGTAGCGCACATTCCGCACATTCTGGCAGCCCCTTTAGGTGCTTGGTTTTATGGGCAATTTCCCATAAGCGAAAGGATACAAGCATTCAGCGGCGAACAATGGCGCGTAAAGGGTATCCAAAGCATCAGTTACGACTGCACCTTCTTGTTGGCCTTTCTTTTGCTTTTTTGCGTAACTTTTGATGGAAATTTTTGTTAGTGGTTTCGCTTTCACGTTTATACAAACTTTTGTTTCTAGTTTTAATGTGTGTGGTGTGTGGTTTTTTTTTTATTTTGTATTTTATGTTTTGTATTTTGTTTTTGTTTCAGTGTTTTGTTTTTTTTTTGTTGTTTGGTCTTATTTCCACTTTTAGTTTCAGTTTTCAGTGTCTCTCTGGTTCGTGTTGTGTTTGTTGAATTTTTAATTGAATTTTGGGTGAGTGAGTACTTCCTCATTTTTGTGCCCGTACCTCGTCTGTGTGTCCATGTGGGGTGGGGCAGGCACTTTGTGGCACCACAAACAACATACAAAGAGGTAGAGGGAGAGAGAGGGGCAGTCACTGGGGCACTGTCATTGTGATAGAAAGCTGTTTTGATAAAACGTTTTCCCATTCGATTTATGTTTTTCTGTTTGTTTCCAAATCGAGCATTGAGCATCGAACATCGAGTGGAAACTCACAATCAAGTTTTGCTTTAGTGCCACATTCAACATGCAGTGGCATGCACCTTAGCACCTTCCTGCTTGACCATTAAACAAAAATAAGAGACAGAGACAGCGCCAGAGCCAGAGCCAGAGCCTCCTGCCCTCGACAGAAACAGCAAATTTGATGGGAGAGAAAAGCTACCGGGAAAGTCAACTGGAAACGTTTCCCCATGGGCGTTTCCCTCTCTCTGCCAGTGTGGCTTAGCATTAAACGGAAGCCACTGGGTACAGGCAAAAGAAGGGTGGGGTTCGGTTCGGTAACATTAATTAAAACTCAGAAAAGTACAAATAAGAGTTTCGGCATAACTGCTAAAAGTTAGTCGAAAGCCGCGAAAATTCCCTTGAATTCCCATTGGAACCAAATTTAGTGAAAAGCAGACAAACAGCAACAATATGCTACTGGCAAATGAATTTAAATTCAATGGAAATTCGTTGCCAGTGCCATTACAAATACGAGTATTCTGGGAAAAGATTCCGAAAATGAAATTTCAATTCGCTGGAAATCCATCCGCAGATGGAGGGACACCGGGAACGATGAGAATCGTGCTTGGGTAACCAAGTCTCAAAGAATAATTCAGAGAACTGGACAGGACACTCACCTTCTTCGACAGTTGTGTTATGTCCACGGGCGTCACTCGATTCAGAGCCGCCAGTCGCTGCAGTCGCTCCCGGGCGTGCTCCTCGACGGCAATGACAAACGCGTCCTGCACCGAATTCCCAATATCCCAGGCTGCAATAGAAGATGCACATAATATGAATATTAGGTTTATATATTTAATTAATATTTGTTCATTAAATGGGAAATCAAAAAATTACAAAAATTACAAAAAATAACAAAAAACAAAAGAAAATATTATATTTGGTACATACATATGTAAATATGTTTCCTAATCTCTTTTAATAAATTAGAAATCATAAATCGTATCATAGAAATATCAAATATTTACAGCCTCAACGAAAAATCAACAAAAAAATACTTTTAATTTATTTAAAATTATTTTATTTATTTAAATAGACTAAAAGAAAACGGAGAACTTCTAAGGATAAGCAGCATAGTGAGGAATGATCACATCTACCATAATTTAGCATTGCGATCGGCTCCTGATTACCTATAGTATAGGTTCAGGAATACCCCACAAGAATGCTTGCTTCTGGCTGCGTTTCTTGGGGGAATTAGGGGAACTAGGGGAACTAGGGGAACTCATATTATTCACAAAGTTAACACCAAAGTTGATATGCATAAATCCGAATGATGTCTCTCTTTCATCTGCCCATCTCTTGCCTTGCTGCCTTTTCGGCTGTTGCCACAGAAATGAGAGAAGTCCCCTTCTCGCGAGGGTACGGATGGAATCTTTCCCCAAGGGCGCCGTCTAAAAGCAAACATTTCCAGTCCAGCGATGAGTCGGGGATTACTCGTATTTTTCGGTTCTGAACGGGGGTGGTGTGTGGGGTATTCGGGTATTCCCCGGGCATCCATTCACTGCATTCATGGCGCTCTAAGCGAATCGTTCAATGCATATTCATGAGTGCATTCGCCGCAGGCCACAGAATGTTTTGGATGCTGCCTCAGTGGGCACTGGGGAGGGGTAGGTGGGACGGGGGGCAGTGCTGCCTGCTGCTCCACCTCCCCAGTTACAGTTCCAGTTCCAGTTTTCTGTTTCGTTGTCCTTTTCATTCAAAATCCAGGGAATCGCTCCCTTCTCTCTCTCTCTCTCTCTCTCTCTCACTCTCTGCCACACTTTTCATTTCTTTTTCTCTGTTTTCTCTTGTGAGAAAAGTTTTTTTTCTTTCTGTTTTTTTTTTTGGTTGAAAATTCGTTGCTTTGATGACAGCAGAGCCTCAGGATTCGGCTCAAGAAACGCCTGCCATCTCCATCCCTCCATCTCCAGTTTCAGCTCCAGCGAAAGTTGCTTCTCGTTTTTCGTCTTTCGCGTCTGCTGGCTGTCCTGGCCTGGCCTGTCCTTAGACGGTTATATCCTTATTCGTCGTCGCCCACTCAACGCCTCAACTTTTCCCTGTCACTTTTATTGCTTTTTTTTTCGGCTGCAGTCCGCCCACTCCGCCCACTGTGCCACCCCCTCCCACCAGCACATCATGACCTCGGCTTTAATTTCATTTCGCTGCCCTTGCGTTTCGCGGCTGTTGATTGCGTCGAAAAGTGGGGCTTAGAATCGGGATGGCAGATTGAGGGTGGCAGATTGCCCCCAAAAGACGCCCTCGATACGTCACCCATTCAGCCAGCCAAACAGCCACCCACCCGTGCTGCTCATTCGTGCCACATTCGGGCAAAAGTGGAGCGCTCGGGCCGAAATCCAATTAGGCGCCGCGTTGTCAGCCTCGATGTCGCAACATGTCGTTGAACCTGCCCCAATCCTTCACCATGCTCCACTACCCTGCCACACAGCACTCCGAGGAGGGTAAAGTTGAGCCTTGTCCCTGCCCCTGCCCCTGCCCACGTCCCTGCCACTGGCACTGCCCGTACCCCAGCCCCTTCACGTGCGTCTCTCTCCTTTCTCTTTAGCTCTGACTTTTAATCTCATTTGTGTCCATGAGTGTATGTGTGTGTGTGTGTGTGTCCCGCTGTTTGTGTGCCGGGGCATGCCTCTCTCATAAGTCTTGACATCCCACGCGTCAGTGTAGATGGCGGCGGCACCACTTCAAGACCAGGCACCGAATGGGGCGTGGCACCACCCGTGCCATCTGAACACACCACCCCACCCCACCCCTTCGGGTGCATGGTGCGTGGTGCAACGCGTAGTAGGCCATTGGACACTTTCCGCCTCACACATTCAAATCGCGACACCGGCTATTAATGGAGCCACACTTCAGACAATGCCACGGGTCTACCATCCCACAGACCACAATCCCCCAGCCCCCATCCAAGAGGTGTCTCTCGTGTCCGTTGTCGGCAGACACCTGAACCAATGTCCGGTGTCCATTGTGCCCTGTCCCCTGTTCCCTCTGTTCGCTCTGTTCTTTTTGTTGTTTGTTTGTCCTCTTTGATGCTTGCGCAATATTTTATTACCTGCCGTAATTAGCTATTAATGGACGTTGTGCCACCGAACGAAAGCAGACGAGAGGCGACGAACAGGACACCTAAGCGTAAGTGGATGCCACAGCCAACGAGTGGCAGTACCTGAAATCAGCCATGCTAAGCCACACTTTGATAGAGTTAGAGATATTCTAGCTGCTTTTGCTCGCTGGGGATACTCCGGCTGGCTACTCCGCGTGTGTGTGTGGCACGCGTGGGAGCCACTTCACACGCTGAGATTTCTGAGATGGAAACATCTCATTCGCCTAATGGAATTGCCATGCAATGCAATCCATATATTGCGATTGAAAATGTTCCGAGTTCTGTGGCGTGGCCACCTACCGTAATTGCCTAACCCGCAGCGGCAGCAGCAGCAGCAGCGGCAGAATCGATAAACAATGGACCAAAGTGCACTCCAATTGCAGCAGCAACAGCAGCAGCCGCAGCTGCCACGTGAGAGGTGCCTGCCACTGCCACAGCAATCGGCATTCGACCACCAACAAAATCAAACAGCGACAACACGATGAACACTTGAAAACATTGCCCAACAAAGTTCTGCCCCAGCGCCCAATACCCAACACCCAACACAGTTCTTGTCAAATTGCAGTGGGGCGGCGGGCCCCCCCTCTCTCTCTCTCTCTCACTCTCTGTGGAGGTTGGAGTTTTTGGCGGTACGAGGTTTTTGCAATACACCTGCGTGTCGAGAGATTTCAATTTGCCCGCATAAAAACTTGGAACAAAATCAGCCAACTTTCACGAATCTAGAAAACTTTCTAGAAAACGCCTACAGCCAACGAGAATGGGGGGGGGGCAATACAGAATATAGACAGCCAACGAAGCGAATAAACTAGGGGGCGCAGGTGCAAAACTATCCAAATTCTTGGGGCATTCATGACTATTTTGCATGCATTAATGCTTAAATTCAAGGGTATTTTAGGTGTCTCCTTTTGTACAGATATAATACAGTTTTATGTGCTCAGCTTTTAGCGTGAATGCCTTGTGAACTCGGCTTCCGCATCGTCTTTGAACTTCTATCGTCTCATAAATAAACTTTTGTGTCTCCATGTTTTTGTATTTGCTGCCCCTGGCCTTTAACCAACCTTTAATCAGATGCAACAACAACAAAAACAACAAAATGGTTGCTGCATCAAACAACAACAGCAGCAAATGCCACTAACAATTGAACAATGAAATTCGTAATGTGAGAATCGTAATTAAAAATTTAATTGAAATTAAATAATGATGTTTCGTGACCGACTGATGGATGAATGAATGATGCGCACCTGAAACGGGATAGGGGGGGAGGGGGAGAGGAATGGAAATGGGCATGTGTGTGTCACCAATAGCCATATACCCAGTGATGGGAAGCATTGCGGACAGAGGTGTCCGTTCTAGAGAGCGTGCATGTGCAGCATGCCTCTGGGGAGTAAAAGTAACACCTCCAAGTTGTAAAACCTCTCTGCCGCATTCCACTGGCAGCATTCCCCATTCGATTGTCAAATGTTCCCATAAGTGACCGGAGGAGACACATTCGATGCGAATGGCACAAGAAATCATAATGCAGATGGTCGAATGTAGAATTTTTTCCATCATAATCATCCATGCATCCATCAGCTACGAGTATCCGTGGGATATCTGCAATTCAACTGCGTGCATCTACAATAATCAAAACCACATGCAACATCCAGTGATGTGATTGGGAGTGAGAGAGAGAGGTAATGCGGCATTCGCGCACTGGAATTCCCTCAATTAGAAGCGTCATGGAATTTCTGTTCGATGTTCGGGCAGTGTGTATCTCCGTGTATCTCTGTATCCGAACCGACCACAGCTCACCGTTCAACCGTTCAACCAGTCAACCGCTGAAATGCTCAACCCTCAATCATCATTCTGAAGGCATCAAATGCTTGTAATGGGAATGGGGAATCTCCCTTTTGGGGTAAACATTCTGCAACCAGAATCGAACAGTTTCCCCAGTAGAATTCCTAACCTGTCAGCAGATACACACAGATATATCTTAGGGGGGGTGGGGGACACTACGATTATATAGTATGTATGTATAATTATTTATGTGTGATTATTATTATTTTTTGGCATTCTTTGCCTTGACTTTCGTATTTCCTTGCCGCCTTTTAATGTGAGCGAAACTCGTTTTGGTTTCGAGCAGAAGATTTTGGATTTTGTTTTATATTGACGCTTTATCTTCGTGTCTCTCTCTCTCTCTCGCTGTCTCTCTCTCCGCAGATACACTCTCAGATGCACAGATACATGGATACAGAGACAGACTTGGATGTTTTTATAGTTTGTTTTTCGCTCCCTCTCAGTCTCTGTGTCTGTCCTCTTTTATCTACGAATCATGTGCACGGGGGTTATGTAACCGCACAATCGAGTATCGAATATCGCGTTACCATTGACACTGGGGGGCGAGCTGCCTTAGTGCCCCCCAAGTGCCCCGCATGAGTAAGAGAGAGCATCGGACTTGGACTTGAAATGGAGTCGGTACTCAACAGATTCGAGGGCCTTGGCTACAGGTGCGCTGCCACACCATCGATGCTTCGGAGCTTCAGTATCGATGGGAAAGTCAATAAAATCTGAAGCTGTTGAACCAGCAGCAGCAGCAGCAGTGACTGTTCGTACTGATGAATGATTCAGAAATATAGCCATAAGATTCATTCATGTCCATGCATGTATACGTAAATATG